CTGTTGGAGTCCGAGTTCAACAAATTTTGATTTATATTCTGTTTAATTCTTTCCTTTTGCTCATTTCAGCTAATTTTACCATATCATTTTATCTAATTCAGAGAATGAGACGAATAAAGCCATCTTTATTCGATTCGATAAATCGATTCGGTTTTGGTTTCTGTTTCATCCATACCCACGATCTGTTATTATATCATCTTTTGTACCACGCTCATTTTGGATGGATGACAATAAAGAAGATCTTATTCTCCTTCTCCATGTCGAACCGTTCAGCAAGCACGATGGTGTTCGACAAGAATTCTCTGAAAATTTCACTGCCATCTTTCGCGATCAATATGTATCTATTTGGTAATTAGCTGTACTTTTCGAAAATACTTAAGCATATCCAGCATCTTTACCACTGTCTCTCGCAAAATGAATGGTTAAAACAGGTGTTCTCATTGGTCAACTACTTGGTTATAAAACAATATATGAAGAATATACAACAATTGAAGATGAATTTTATTAGTTAACTGTAGTTTTATGTGAAGGTTCGTATTTGCAAACATTTTATTTTTATTTTGCATTAATATTTCATCTAAAAGAATAAAGTATACACACAAGTACAAATGGAATCATAAAAATAGAACGCAGATTGCAATTTAAAATTGAAATGTATTCTGCTTTATCAGGAAAGAGAATAAAATAAGAAAGACGTGATTGAAGAATATTTTTATTTTGAAGATTTGAAAACTACAGCTTTATAAAGCTTTTTATTAAAAAAGAAGAATGATAAGCATGGAGAAATACAGGGATTTTCTTTTAGAGCAAAGGTAGAGTATTATGTATAGATCCTCAGTTTCAACATTCTCAGTTGTAATAACACAATGGAAATCGACCATCGTGACAATATCCCGCGTGGTATCCATGGTTTCGACAACATATTGAAACAGGACCACCAGTTCTGCAAAATGAATCGCAGGCAGATTCATAATATTGTGCCATAATTATTCCAATAACTAGCATATACAACAACAAGAAAATTATTATTTGATATATTTCGAAGAAATTATCTATTGTTGTTTGTTTGCTAAGCAAAATGACTTACCCATAGTTAACAAAAGCACAATAAGGAGCAGACGATGCATGATAATGATACTGTAATTTGTACGATGCTGCGGTTAAGTTAACTAAAAGTTGGAATAATTCATCTATATATATACATGAATAGCTCGTGTAAGACCTGAGAAATTCTCAGAATTATATGAGCTCATTTCTTTTTTATCATATTCCCACCATAGTGGGCATTTCTCTTCTATTGATAAGGATAAGAAAGAGAATAGAATAAAGCATTATGAATCAATGTTATTTAGCAGAAGGATGACACATAGTGCTTTATTCTATTCTCTTTCTTATCCTTACAAATAGAAGGGAAATGCCCACTTTGATGGGAATATGATAAAAAAGAAATGAGCTCATATAATTCTGAGAATTTCTCAGGTCTTACACGAGCTATTCATGTATATATATAGATGAATTATTCCAACTTTTAGTTAACTTAACCGCAGCATCGTACAAATTACAGTATCATTATCATGCATCGTCTGCTCCTTATTGTGCTTTTGTTAACTATGGGTAAGTCATTTTGCTTAGCAAACAAACAACAATAGATAATTTCTTCGAAATATATCAAATAATAATCTTTTCGTTATTGCATATGCTAGTTATTGGAATAATTATGGCACAAAATTATGAATCTGTTTGCAATACACCTTGCAGAACTGGTGGTCATGTTTCAACATGTTGCCGAAGCCATGGATACAAAGCGGGATGGTGTAACGGTGCTCGATTTGCAATCTGTTACTACTGAGAATGTCGATACTTGAGCGTCTATACATTTTACTCTACCTTTTTTCAAAGATAATCTGCGTAGTCTCTCATGCTTATCATTCTTCTTTTTTAATAAAAAACTTTTTTAAACTGTATTTTTGAAATCTTCAAAATAAGAAACGCTCCCTGATCATGTCTCTCTCATTTTTTATCTTATTTTATGCTATTTACTGATGAAGCAGAGGGCACTTCAATTTTCAGATTGCGATCTGCTGGAGATAAGTTCGCAATTCACACTTTTTTAAGCTTCTATTGTAGCTATGAATCTCTTTTATGTTTTTATTTATATCTATATTCGATACATCTAGTGTGTGGATGCGGGCGTGGGCGTGGGTCTTGTATTCATTTATATCCACACCCAGACAGAGAGACAGACAGGTATACGACAAAAACGACGTTTAAACATCTCAATATGTAAATCGTTGAAGATGTTTCATTAGTTGCCAAAATCGCGTTAAAACAGTTTAAGATTAATCATTTTTAACGTGTTTTTTATGTCTAAACGCTCATAGTTGATGAAACGTTTACTGTTTTAACGCTTTTTGGCCACTAATGAAACATTTTTACCGGTTGTTATGTTTTTGATGAAAATGCCTGGTAACAGTTAATAAATATTTCGTTTAAGCGATGAATTGACAAATGTGCAGGGTGTCCCAAAAGTTGCTACTCAAAAATGTTTTCTTGTATAACTTCACTATTAATTGAACTTGATTAGCTTATTTTTTTTTGTATGAGAGGTGACATCATCAAGATTTTATTTCTATGGACAACTTATGATAGTTTTCTGTAAAGTAATTGCCATTAGCCAAGTTACAAGACTTCAGCCTTTTCCTGATTCCATAATAATATTTTGCAACGTTCGTTTTTTAATTACTTCGATTTTTAGTTTTATCCTAATATTTAAATTGTTCAAATCTGAAACAGTCGTTTTATAGAGAATAGGTCCGATGTGTCCTCATAAAAAGGAATCGAATAGTGTAAAATCAAACAGTTAAAAAATTAAATCCTGCAAAATATTGTTATGAAATTCGAAAATGCTGAATTGTTGTAACTCATCTAATGGTAATTACTTTGAAGGGAGCTTTCATATGTTGTCCATAGAAGTAAAACCTTCCCTAGTCTCAATCCTGTTCATTCCTTGAGAAACCCTGAAAGGATCTGTCAGGATCCTGAATCTCAAGGATCCTGCTAAGTTTTATTCAGGATCCTGTCTCGAATCCTAGAAATTTCTGTTTCCAGGATTTGTCGAGGTGAAACAAGATCCTGTTTAGGATTTTTTCAAGTTCCTGCTCAGATATTTTTCTGAGTCGAGATTTCAGGTTCCTATCAGGATTTTCTCAGGATCGTATAGAGGATCCTCACAAGATTATGAGAGAGGATTTTGAAAAAAA